CCACACAGCTTGGTGTCGTCAGCGATATAATATTAATAACATTAATTATAATAATATAATTCTAAAATACAGAGATTAAAAGGAGGGTGGAAAAAGTGTGTGGGTGGTTTTTTTTTCTTTAATCAGTGATTTAGGAACAATGGCAATGTCTATTAGAGCTCACTTACCAGAAAAACAAGAGTTCTCACCATGTTCCTCTTGTGTGTCTTTTATCTTCTGAAATACTGAAACTTTCTGCAGTCTCTTTAGCGAGCTTTTTTCTGCAGTAATACCTTTTGTCCACCAATATTGTTCAGCCTCCAGAGTAAACTGTGCATAGCGCTGTTTCAACTTGACCTTTGTTTTCTGTACATAGGGATTCCCATGTATAGGGACACAAGTTCAACCTTTTTAGCAGCCAGTCCAGCTCTTCTGCACATTTCAGATGTCTCCAACTTGCTTTTTCTTTGACACTGGTCCTCCAAACTGCAGCTCTTAGCTGTTTGTCTCTGTGTTACAGTTATCACTCTCGGCTTGTATTTTGATTTCTACTTTTTTTTTTGTCTTGTATCCTTGCCATTCTCTCACTTTTCTGGATTCCTACACCACCCTGTCTGTTCTGTGTAACTTGTGCTCAGTCGGTAGTAATGAGGTCAGTATCACTCGTGAAAGTCAAACTCTTTACCATCATGCTTCATAGCATGTTTTGTCACTTTCAGATCTGTTTGAAAAAATGTTATTGCTTCCAGTACTGAACAGTTTTGACAAGAGTGTGCATCCTAGCCTAGCCCTTTGTCAGCTAGAGCCGTACTGCATCTTTCTTGTGTATTTCATGGCATTCATCCGTTTTTCTGAGTGTTCTCTTCTGGGTGAGAACAGTTCTTGCAGTGTCTGGTATTCTTCAAAACTGTCATTTCACTGCCAAGAATGTAAGATGAAGAGAACTAAAGAGAGTTGCAAAAGCAGGACAAAGCTGCTAGGTTAGCGATGAAAGACGTAACGTTTTGATGACTGTTCAGCATGAAATGCAGCATTGGAAACCCACATGTAATCGTCTAATCAGAGTCCTAGTTCTGGACATTCAGCTCTTTCTTCAGTTACAGCATAACTCGGAAGAAATTTCTAACTTATTACTGTATGGTATGCTTGGTCTGGCTTGTAATTGCGACCCCTAGAACAGATGCCCAGGTCTCTCTCGTGCATTTGGGCCTCACCCTGTACTAAATGCCTCAGCATCTGTCAGTATCATCCATTGCCTCCGAGCCAGCTACAACCTTGTTTCAAAGAGGTGGCTGACATCAGGTTCAGAATACCTTTCTCATTGTTTGAACAACATACTTTGAGTATTTTGGAGTATTAATAGTTGGTTTTAAGTGTTGAAATTACACATTGTGGCAAAAAAACCCCATCTAACTAGGTGTCTTGTCCTAAGTAACAAAATAAGTGCCCATATTTTTCAAGGGTTCTGATTATCAGTTTAGAAAACTAAAGTTTATATAATAGATAAATTATGATTCTTCAGCTGAATATGAGATTTCAGTAATAGGTATTTGTCATGTAGCTCATCTAGAGCAGAATTCACTCACAGCAATTTCTGAAGTAGGAAAGACCTGATCTTGAAAAGACTTAAAACACAGTAACAAAACCCAGCCAGTGCCTGCCTGGATGACTCTGAGTGTGCACCTGTGATTTGTAAGAAGAGCAGAGAGGAGTAAGACAAATGCTGCCTTTATGAGGACTGTCATGGGATTTGGAACCGTTCAGGGGCAGACACTTTGCCTTTTAAATTTTCACTTCTTTGCCTAATCAGGATGAGTAAAAGCAACAATAACACCACCCTCCCACATTTCCCTTGGTGGTTGCTTCAAACTATCTTTCTCAAAAACTTTAAAAATAATGTTTCAACAGAAGGTTTAGCAATGGGACTAAGCTTTTGGGAACAGCACAGGACTAGGCTACTGTATTAAATCAGAGTCAACATGACCTGTTTTCTGTCCATGGAAAAATGCCACTTTCGAAGGACTGAGTTTTAAGACAAGTTTGAGATTCACATAGAATCCCTAGAATTAAACTGGGTAATAAGATGAAAAAAAAAAAAACCAAACCAAAACCACCCCAAACCCTTACTCATGGCTAAAGAGCAATAGCAAAGTAGGGAATCCTGTTCATGTGTAAGATATTGACATCTAAGCTAACTGAAGGCTGCAGAAACCATTGGTTGCTAAGCACTGGAAAAATAATTGATGGAAGAATTTCCTTCTCTGATTATTTTGTTTTATCTGATGCAACATAATGCCCAGTACCATGGCCAGTTATCTTGGTCAGTGTCACTGAAACTCTAAAAGAAACCACACAAATTGTTTTTACTGTGCTTAACTCATTTGCATTTGAAGTGTTCCTTGCATGGACAAAATGCTAAGTTTGAAACTAAAAGTATTGATTGGGGGTGCCTAAAATTAGTCTCTAAATCAGCTATTCAGCATGTTGGTAAAAAATTGTGAAGAAAGTATGCAAATGCTGAGAAGCCTGTGGGCAGTTAGCACTTCTGAACATCGAGATATTTCTCTGTGCATGCTTATTCAGTGCATCCAGGGTTCTTATATGTCTGTTCCTACTTAATGTCGCAAGGCAAGGCTCTCTCCTGCAGTGCCAGAAAGCTTTGCCCCTGCTGCGTCTGAAAGGGGGAGGCCAGCTAACAACTGGCCTCTGCCTTCGCTTCCTGCAGAGTGTAAATGCTGTGAAACCTTCACTTGGGGGATTCTGGGTAGAAGAGAGATACAGAAAGTTGATCTGAATTTACATACATTTTTAAAAGGACCGTTGTTTTTAAATGCATGATATAGATACATGTATAAGGAAAACAGATGCATAGGAAAACACAGTGTAGAAAGGTGAGCAAATCTCTGTGTACACAGGCAGAAAAAGGGGAGATGGTTCTAGGTTTAAATTTCTTTGACTTTCAGTTTTGAGCTCCAGTGCAGAGCTGTTCTGTCAGCTATTTGCTTCGACACAGAACTTCACAAGCACTGAGGTATCCCCAAGCCCAAGCAAGTTACTCTGGAATTTCAGCTTGTTTTGCAGTTCTCCATCTGTACGGAGGGGGGAGTAGCATCCCTGTGCCCCGTGGAGTACCGTGGGAGTCGGAGAGCAGCTGTTTAACTACCAAAGGCAGTACATGATGGAGAGCCCTGGGTGGGGGGAGAAGGGAGGGACACCTGTGACTGCTAAGTGCTTTTTTAAATTTCCTGCTACTTGGGAACGTAACAAACGGAGACCAAAACAGGAGGCAGGGTTAGAGTAAGAACCCAGAGGTGTATACAAGGGGTGGGTTTTTTTGACATTACACCCTGCTGGGAATCCCTGGAAGTGCCACGAAGACAGCAACATCTGCAGTACTCTGATGCAAGGTCTCTTCTGCGAAGCTGAAGGTCCTGATTTGTGTTTTCCCTTTGTAGGTATTGTTATGGTCCTCTCACTCCTGTCAATTGTATATGGTGCCTTACGCTGCAACATCCTGGCTATTAAGATTAAGTATGATGATTATGATGTCAGCGTGAAACCAGCCGCCTACCTCTGCATATTCATGTGGAGAAGCTTTGAGATTGCTACGCGAGTTACAGTGTTGGTCCTTTTCAGCTCAGTCCTTCAAATCTGGATCCTCCCCGTTGTGCTCGTGAATTTCTTTGGTTTTTTCTTCTACCCGTGGATTCTCTTCTGGCAAAGCAAGTCCCCATTTCCCGAGAACATAGAGAAGGCGTTGAGCAGGGTCGGCACTACCATCGTCTTGTGCCTGCTCACCTTCCTGTACGCTGGCATCAACATGTTCTGCTGGTCGGCAGTGCAGGTGAAGCTTAATGATCCTGACTTAATTAACAAATCCCAAAATTGGTACCGCCTGACTGTCTATTACATGCTGCGATTCATCGAGAATGCATTCCTCCTGCTGATGTGGTACATCTATAAAACAGATTTCTACGTGTATGTCTGTGCCCCCTTGTTGGTCCTGCAGCTCCTGATAGGTTACTGCATGGCTGTCCTCTTCATGTTGGTGTTCTACCAGTTCTGCCACCCATGCAAAAAGCTTTTCTCCTCCAGCATTTCCGAAGGTTTGCTCTCTTGTTTCAAGTTCCTCTGCTTTATTTGCAAGCCTCCCAAATCCACCATACTGACGGACAAGGCAGAGGTGAAATCTCTTGAAAATACTGATGAAGCACGGAGCAGTAGCAAGACAATAGATTCTCAGAAGGGGTATCTTCATCAAAGTGTTTCTTCCAATGCCTAGTACAACAGGAAGCAAGTAGGTGCCTTTGGGAGGTGGCAGGTCACCTGCTGCTGTGTACCTTGGACATCATGTCTTGTGGAAGGGATTTCTTTCTTGGAGGTGTAGCACTGCATGACAACTGACAAGCCTACCTTCGTGGGACACTTAGTGTACGACTGTGTATCTGTGTGGTTGTGTACAGAGGGTTGATTGTAGACTTCTATTTCAGCGTTTTTGTTGCACATAGGTTTGTTATTGTGTGCTCACTTTGAAATCATTGTAGGAAGCATCCTTTAAAAACTGGCCTGATGCTCATCTTACCCAGGAAATGTGAGGATGGAAGGAAATGCATCTTATTGCAGATAGGAAATCATTATAGCATGCCATCCTAGCATGGAAACAGAGCATAGACCTTGACTATGTATTGATTGTAGCTGTGGTCTGCTTTGATCAAGTTGCAGACATTTTTTTACACTGTAATCAGCATAATAAGTTAATATTTCTCTCTGTGCTATAAGAATTGGACTTCTGTAATGCACTGTAGTCTGGGTGAAGCAGCCAATTAGCCAGCACTATCACTGAAATGTGCCTGTTACTGAGAATGGACGGAGGGGTTATTGGCTTTGCACTTTTTCACCCTTCATATTTGCTGCTTGTTAGTAAGGGAATTCAATTTAACACATGAATTGTGATATTCTGGAATAGCTCATTGTTCTGACGTTATCATGTATCTAATACTTTGTGATGTTCTGGTGTCAGGGTGGTGTTCACTTTAGGTAACTTTCCATATTGTAGAAGTTGGGTAGATAGTGTGAACTAGTCATGGAGGTGCTCTCCAGAGCACATCTCCAGGGAATAATTCAACCCAGTTTAAAATGTCCTCTGAGGCAGATGATCTGAAGCATTCGCTGGAGCCCTATTCCGCAGTGTTAACCAGGTGCCTTGACGAGTTGTGACTGTCCGACCCCCTTTTGGACGGCTGAAGTTAGGAGATGAGCACTATCCTGACTGCCAGGGGCTTGGTAGTACACCAAATGGGCAACTCGGGGACTTGCTCTGTGAGGAACGAAGACACCAAGTCCTTCTTTTTGAGGCTGTGATATGTTATGGTTAGTCTAATATCAGTAGTTCAAAACCCTCTGACTTCGTTACCTCGGAAGTACCACAGGCTTGAAATGTGAAGGAGGCAGTGGAAGTCATTGACTTTTTCTTCTATGCACTCTATAACCACAATTAGAAGTGTTTCTGTACTTTGCAAGTTGCTGAGAAAGCTTTAGGAGATGAACACCTAAGAATTTAGTGTAAATACGTAAAAACAACTATTTTCAAAAATTAAGTGAAAGCTTTTTGCACTTGGTTTGCTTAGCACCTTGCATTTCTTTTGAGTACTACACATTATGGCTGCAAGTGGAAGCAATTCCTGACCCAAAGTATCTCCTAGTGTCCTAAGCTTAGCCTCCATCCTACCGTCATGGAGAATGTGAAGTTCTTCAGTAGGGTTGGCATCAGCACCGTTGTACTACAAGTGTCTCAGATTGGTGTCAGAGATTGTTTATAATGAAAGATGCCATGTGCAGTGCTGCTAAGAGCTAAGCTGGTTGTGGTTTTCCTTTACTGCACTGTGAATGGATGTCTTTGTACTTCACTTTTATAATGGAGCTGTGGTTTTTATTTGGCTTAATATGTGTCTGAGTGTTGTGTATGTGTATATAACTATTATTGGTGGGTGGTAATGGGCATTTTTGGCCTGAGCTTGCCATGGGAATGCACCTTACATATCTGGGGAAGACACCAAATACCTCTGTTCTAGTTTCTCTCTCTGAGGAGCATAGAACAGCAAAGCGACTCCTTGAAGACACCACCGTGTTTCTCTGTACTTCTGTAGGTAGAAGTATAGTTTAGTGTTTCTCTGTACTCTTCCAGAGGCAGAAGAGTATTTCAGATGGTGGTGGTTTTTTTCTTCAGTAATGAGTTAAAGGAGCAAGTGAGAATGTAGCCCTTGCTTCCAAACGTGCAGAGTTCAGCACCCAGGGCCAAATTTTCAGGTATTCTTAGCTAAAAACAAGCATCTGACTACAGCTGGATACTCATCAATAATCAGGGGATTATGGCTGTTGCCTATTTACAGATGTACCTAGGTCTGAAATGTTAGTCTTGGGGGGGGAGAGGGAGAGGGTGTGGGGAAGTGGCTTCATATGTTCAAGTACTTCATATCTAAAGATAGAGCTCTCAAATCCTTAAAGCAGCCTTTGGACGCTGTAAGGGATGGTGCAGTTGTGATTTTGCCGTTTGGAAACCATGGAAGCTTCACAAACCTCAGCCAGTGAAATGCTTGTGCTACAGTGAACAGGAGAGTTACGCAGCCAGGAGTCCAGTACGTATACGTAGTGAGTACCGTTTTACGTACCAATAACGAAGACTGCTCTGTGTGTGTATTTTTAGAGAGTGTGTCATATCACTTCCTATTTTTATACCAGTCTCCTGAGGTGCATACATTCGGAACTGACTACTCAAATCACTCCTATGAGGGAGGAGGGGGTGGAAGGAAGATTTGTAAGGGTTCTATTACTGTCACGTGGTTTTTCCTTAGTTGTGCAGGCTAGTCAAAGACAGGTTGAACACTCCGTCACCATGAGGGCCATTGGTTTTGCTGTGCCTCCTGCCCCCACAGCATGCACTGCAGATAAGTGACAATATTGCTGCCCTATGTGTGTTCTGATCTAGCTGTGCTGCCTTTGAGGGTAGGAAGAGGGTTTGAGGGGGAGTCAGAGACAGATAATCTGTGAAGACTGGTGTTTTTGAAGGACGAGCTTATTTTTCTGAAGTGTGCCGTCGTGCTAGGAGAGACAGTTTTTCTCAGGATAATGACAGTCTAGACAGCGCTGTTATCAGCGCACCCAGTGGCTGTGTTGAGAGGATGGCTGAGAGGATGTGTGCGCATAATGGCTGCTCTCTTGCTGCAAGCTTACAGTGGTTTTACTCCTCTGTGAATGTTAGAGGTGTAGGTGTTGAGTGGAAGGGTATCGGGCTACTGGTAAAAACTGTACTCACGTGAGTAGCCCTGAGTCACACAAAGGGTTCCTCAATGAGGATTATTCACATGTACTGGAGTATGCAAGATCTGATGCACAGGTTTTCTCTTATACTTGTAAAACAACACAAATTAAAACGTTGAAACACTCCCTTAAGTTGTGTTGGTATCAGTTCTTAACCTTTACCTGGGATTTCAGAAAGCAGAGGACTATCTAGCACGCTGCCAGCTGTTACCACACAGTAGAAGAAATGTATTCAAGAAGACCTGACAGAAGACTAATCTGTGATTTGGGAGTTCCTGACCTCCAACCAGTGGTGCTTCCAATGCTGTTTAGCTGGCTGGGGTCTCGGCAGGAAATTTTGTGGGATGCAGGCAGTTTGAGACCAGTATTATATGGAACGAGATCAGTGTAGGTTATTTATTGTCAGGTGAGCATATTTACTTGGTTTACACTGGGAATCAGAAAGAAATCATTACCTTATCAAGAATCTTTTAACTTTTTTTTTCCTGCACGCTTGTTTCGTGCTTATCTGGGTTTAACATGTGCTGGTGACTGACCTTGGGAGTAGCCACCAAAATCCATGCTGAGGACTGCTGTGGAGGTACAGGAATGTGTAAAAACTTTGTAACACACTTGAGTATTTGTAACTGTCTATGTATATACAATGTATGTGTATTTTATAAATATGGGTGTAAATAGATACGTTGTAACAAGTTGTAATGCGTGCGTAGCAGTGAGAGAGGATTTTAGAAGTGTTGTAACAAGTTGTAATGCGTGCACATCAGTGAGTAGCAGTGAGAGAGGATTTTAGAAGTGCTGGTGGTGATGGACGCCACTATCAGCTAGTGAGAGCTGTGCCCCTAAAACATAGAAAGTAATCAATCCTTTCTTACAGATGTTCTTTTTAGTCAGAGGAGGAGGGTGACATCATTAAGTAAGGGAGGCAACAGGAGTCACTTCAGTTTAAAGAATGCAGTGTACTCTCTACATTACGCTTTTTGTTATGTTTCCAGTGATTGCAGAACAACTTATTTAAAGTAGATTTCTAACCAGTCTAATAAAAGACGGAGTTTTGTTAGTCTTGAAAACTGCATGACAACTAAAAAGAACCCTTTTTTTTGAAACGCTTGATTATTTGTGAGCCAATCTGGTGGTGACATTTGCAGCCTGACTCGGAATTGATGAATACTTGGGATTGGCAAACTGTAATCTAATTAAAAAAACCCCACAAGTTGGTTTGGTTTGGTTTTTGTGGGGTTTTTTGTTTGGTTGGTTGGTTGGTTTTGGGTTTTTTTTTATTCCCCAGTAGTTCCCATATTTTTTTTTTTTTCCCATAGCAGCAGATTATATCTAGTCTAAAACAATAAATCATTTTCTACTTCCTGTTTTTTTGAAGGGCTTAACACCCCCCCACCCCCCACCACCCCCAAGAATGGGATTTTGAACTGGGATATTTGCAAGCCAAACATCATCATGCATATTTATAATCCTGTATTTTAAAATGCAGTTGAGCTGACTGCCTCTAGTCACCCAGGAATCATCACAGAAACATGAATATATAGTAATATGGCAGAGGTTGTAAGTTTGATTTGCTGGAGACAGAAGACTTGAAAAATAAGAGGTTTTAGGGATTATGTAATTCTTACTGACCAAGGAAAATCATTGTAATAAAACTGTTAGGTCTCTTGGGTTCACCCCAAAACTAAAGTTGAAATGAAAGGTAAGTGCTTCAAAATGACAACATAAAGTTATTGAATCTCTCTCTTGAATGAAGGATGAGTTCATATCCTGGAAAAGAACAGCAGTTTTATCCTTTTCTGGTTTTCTCACCATGGTAAGGAAAATCTCTTGCTACTGAAATAAGGTTTTACAGAAAAAAGTGTCTGTATTAAGGTATGAAAATTTCTTCTTTCACATGTGAATGCTGCTGGGTGTAAAGGCTTCTAATCAGACTGGTTTTAATGGGTAAACACATCCAGGCAGGGG